GGTGGCTCAGTTGCTAAGATGCTGAGCTTGTTGATTGAAAGGTCGGCAGTTCGAATCCCTAGCGCCACATAACAGAGTGAGCTCCCGTTACTTGTCCCAGCTTCTCCAACCTAGCAGTTCGAAAGTATGTAAAAATGCAAGTAGAAAAATAGAGACCACTTTGGTAGGAAGGTAACAGTGTTCCATGCACCTTCGGTGTTTAGTCATGCCAACCACATGACCATGGAGACGTCTTTGGACAGTGCTGGCTTTTGGCTTTGAAACGGATATGAGCACTGCCCACCTAGAATCAGGAACCACTAGCACATATCTGCGAGGGGAACCTTTAACTTTACCTTTAATTCTTCTGTAATGCAACACCAGTCACTCTTCTCCCCTGAAAAGTGTTGTTCAAAAGGGAGCTTATTAAACATTCATAATTGGAATCCCAGAATGCAGAATGTCTAACCTTTGTCCAGGGTCTGTAAAAGGAAACTTATTTTTTTTTCCCAATATACAGCAATCATGGCCAATTTGCACATTCTGGCTCATTTCCAAACCTTTCCCAGCCTCCTGTGAGTTAATGGTAATTCATATATTTGCAGCCCATATGCAATTCAGAGCCAACATGTGTTGGGAAGCCAGAGGTTATTTCCTTGCAATATCCCAACCGCCTCATTTTTAGATCTTATGGTAAATATTTCATGACTCGCTAGTTTTCTCTTATTATCACGTAACAAGAGAGTACCAACCAGAGTGCCAATTGCATCAAAAATGTAATATTGTTACTTACTTCTCTGCTTGTCTTGGTGAGCAAGCGTTTTAGGGAAGAGATATTAAATTTGGTTGACGAGACAGCACAGTGGCTGACGGCACCTTTTTTTTTCACCTCCAGCTTATTTGGAAACATAAACAATGATGTACGTGCAATGTTTTTGTATAGTTTTTATGTCTTTTTTACTGTACTTAGAGTGTTGTTTTGTTTTGGTTTCATGTTGTTGTTTTTAATAGAGAGCTGCCCAGAGTCATATATTTGAGATAGGTAGCTACATAAATTGAATAAATAAGTAAATTGTACTTGCATTTAAGATTGGTTACAGCTTGCATTTGAATCCCAGGCACAAATCATGTGTAGCAATCAAGACTGCATAACTGCCAATTCATCATCATCAGAAATTAAACCATAATTTGTATAATAACCAGGGTGAAAACCAGTGGTGGGTTTCAATTTTTTTTAGAACCTATTCTGTGGGTGTGGCCTATTTTGTGGACATGGCTTGGCAGGCATGTGACCTGGTGGGTATGGACAACTTGACATCACTCATGCACGTTCAGTCACATAACCACCAGCCCCAAGCCATGTGGCAAAAAATTTTGGGACTCATATGAAAAGGGTGGGGAAGAGAAAGGAAAACCTTCCAAAAATAGACAACTGGAGGATTCAGGGCCAAAATTAGGGAGATTGGAGGAGGCAGGACAGAGAGGAATCCAGTAGAAAGATATCACATGCTGGAAAAAGAACTTTGGAGATTGGAGGAGGCAGGACAGAGAAGAGTCCAGTAGAAAGCTATCACATGGTTGGGGAAAGAACTTTGGGAGATGGGAGAATGCAGGACAGAGGGGGATCCAGTAGAAAGCTATCACATGCTGGGGAAAGAACTTTGGGAGATGGGAGAAGACAGGACAGAGGGGAATCCAGTAGAAAGTTATCACATGCTGGGGAAAGAACTTTGGGAGATTGGAGAAGACAGGACAGAGGGGAATCCAGTAGAAAGTTATCACATGCTGGGGAAAGAACTTTGGG